ACTATTTTTGATGAATTATCATATTAAATTACTCTTTTCTTAAATGTGTTATACCCACACGCAAATACTTTCCCGAATTTACCAAACACGAGTATTCCCTGATCAAACACTCAATCGACTATGCACCAAAATCTCTCATTCAACACTCCTTTCATAAGGAGCTCTGTAATTTAAAGAGGATGTTTCACACTCAACTCTGAACAGTATGCACATGGGCAACTGCACCCATTCCCAGAGCATCTGCACTCTTTAACAGGTTGAGAATGAAAAGCGTGACTGAAAGTATAAATTAATATTCTCAAAGAAGATGGAAAGATTATTTACAGAGAATGAAACATTTTACCAAAATTAATCTGAAGTACAAACCAAAAGGGATCAGAGGGTTTTTTATGAAATGAAATAAAAAGTGAATAAAGTAATATGCTCAATACTTTACGTCATAAATGTAAAAATACTTTAGTTTCGTGAATAATAAAAGCGCCAAATGTACTTTTTGTGTTTTTTATATCAAAAACATAACTTTTCAAGCCTAATGTTTGTTAAATGCCTTATTTTAATCATTTTGTCACTTATTTCAAGTGCCTAAAATATTACTTTTTATGCCTAATTTTATATTTATTGTTTTTAATTTATATTTATCTATTTCAGGTGCCTAAAATTCCAAGGTCTAGTGATAGCATAGCATTAGTTTCATAGACTATATATTATGTCATTTGCATAGGCCAGCACATGGGAGTGGGGGGAGGTTGTTGCTCACCTGAAAATTTTGAAAGGGACCTCACAGCTCTATGTAATATAACAATTTCACCACATTTAGGGAAGGACTAGCAGCCACAACTACAAACCAACTAGCACCCCTGGTATTTGTTCAACAATAAATCAATTGTATATATGAGTTGTATAATTAAAGTTATAATTTTATTCTTCATGTAGAATGTTTCTTTGTTTACTAGTAAACTATTTAATATATAAATAAAAAGGTTTAATGGGAAAGAAGGCACAAAAATGCAGTTGCCTCCCATTCCTTCGTTTTAGATTGCACATGCCTATAGTAATATGCCTCTAATCCATGTTCAGTCCTTTCAAGATATCTCAAAATCAAAGTTCTCAGCCTCTCTCTAGATTTTGTGTCTACGGTTTTGAATATTGTTTTACGCCAGTAGTTTCATTTAACTATCAGCTAGCTATCCAATATCACACATTCGTCTTTCTTTAGAGCACATGTATCACTTTTACAAACTTAACAGAAATTACATTTAATTTCTAATATTTTTGGTACTGAAAACAAAGATTCTGAATGGAAAAACTACTTCATTTGATGAATGATTGATTTGAATAGCAATAATCACTTGTGTAAAAAGTTTATTTTCATTTGGATCCTGCCAATGTCAAATTCACTGCCTCTAGCTTAATCACTTACACATTATTATTGATGAGACACTTCTAAAGGAAAACAGGAAGTTTGTTTTCATTCAAAATTTTCATCAAAGAGCCTCTTGTGTACGAGAGATAATCAATATGCAATCTATAATAATAATAATAATAATAATAATAATAATAATAATAATAATAATAATAATATATTTGTGCAGAAACTAACGCCATAAGATCTCTTCTGCCTACCAACACATTGTAACCTTAGTCTAATAGGTCCAACAGTTGCAAACTAATGAAGATTCCAGTAATGGTATATCTTCACTTCAGATAAAAACTTAATCCCCAAAATGACATGGCAATTAATGGGTTAATCTTGTTTTTAGGGGAGTAATCATATTTGGAAATATTTATTCAAGAAATACTTCAATAATCTTATTATTGTTCCTTTGTAATAAAGAAACTACGAACTGTTGCTTTGCAGCTAGAGCAACTGTAAAACCGATAAACAAAAATGTTAAGAATCTGTAAAAAGTAGCTTATAGTGAAGAAATCGCTATAATCTACTATGCTATTTTGTGTTCTTATACCTACCTTATACCTTAAAATTATGAATAAGTATAAGAACACAAAATACTACCTTTTAAAAAAATATATATATTTTCGGGAACGTGATAACTAAGGGGTGGATTTAATGGAAGTGTCATTATTTTTCTTTTCACTTTGCAATGAACAATGACGTTTAGTATAGAAATTCATTTTATGTTATGATGAAATGAAATTACCCATTTTTGTGTCATTTCTTTGCATTTTTCATCAATTTCGACTACTAACTAATTTTTTACCTTTTTACTTCATTTTTTGCTGATTTCATTGATTTTTGTAACATTTAAATGGTACTTGCTTCAAACAATATTTACAAGGTTAAACAAATGTTCACCAAAGAATTCCTGAGTAGCCTATTCGATTTCTTTGCTCATATATTGTTATGTCAGCTGTTGTGAGTACTATGTAATCTAAAGTTCCTGTGACGTTTATTGGAGCCTTTGTCAGTTCGGCTCATTTCATGATAAATAAAGGCACGGAATTTCTTTTAAAGAACAGTCCAAACCCAAAGTTTGCAAGCTGAGTTCACTTGAAACAGGAAGAAGCCTCAATTACATCAGTAACCTATCCAACAGCATAACTTATTCATCTGAAGTGGTTTTGATCAAATTTTTTACGTCTTTTTTCTTTGTTTTTAGGGCATTTTAAAAGCATTTAAAGAGCATTTTATTGATCATTTTTGGCAATGTTTTAGGTCATCAAAATCCGCCCCACAGTGATAATAGATAGGAACTAAAAATTAAACTTTGAAACACAAGGGGATGAAATAAGAAAAGCAGAAATCCAAGTGGAAGAAACAAGAAGGTAATGAAGGAAATCAGAAAATAAAAAGAGAAATACAAAGAAAGCTATGTACAAAATTAAAATTTCTAATCCTTTAAGAAGCAAACTAGGGCTCAAAATAGAAACTTTCATATAAACCTATTGTTATCTGCATTAATTTTGTTGCAAGATTTAAGTGAAGGTTCAGTCTAGTCTTGTCTGTGCACACAGAACCATTGTTGGAGAGAGCTCTGGTTGACACTTTCATCACTTACTCGCTTCTAAATTATACAATAAGAGCACCACGAAGTACCAAATGATTTTATGGGCAATTGATTCTATGAAAGAAGTACAACTGTTACAAAGCTGCATATGCCCAATCAACTTTGGTGTAGACAAAGTATCATTTGTCTCTACCAAACTCAATATAACTTTCATACCAATGAGCAAGCACTTTGATCTTTCTGCACATTTGATGGGGTTGGTATTGATGATAATGAGGTTATTAAACAGCATTACACAATAGTTAAAAACAAATATTAGAATATAGACATAAACAGCAATAAATTTATTTAAATACTAAATTATTAATTGCATGAGTAAGTGAGATCATATTGCAATACAAACTATATTTTGAAGAATTTTTTCCACACTCAAAAAACATTAGTGAAATAATCAATTTATATTTATACATAAACTGAAGTGATCCACACCAATTTTATAATGTTTTCTTCTTTCTTTCTTTCTTTCTTTCTTTCTTTCTTTCTTTCTTTCTTTCTAAAGAGAATAGAAAAAATTCTGGAAATATTAATTGAAATATTTGAGTTCAGTTGAGCCCTGATTAAGACTTCTGCAAGAACATTTTAAACACTCCCCAATTGCTTGTGTAAATATTTGCCAGCCTAATAAAATAATAATAAACCAAAATTTCAATATAGAGAAATGACTAACATAACAAGCTAAATAGAAATATATGCTACGTCTTATCAAAATCCAACACATAAATACCACCTGGTGGCAAGTAATATTATGTAAAATAAAAGAGCCACTTTTATTCATCAACACACTTGCACCGTTTATACACTGTATACTATCAGACATGTTCCAGCAATTTCATGTTCCATAATCCTTCATGCAGAAATCCAGTTTATGAACCTATGTAAATCCAATTTTATCTTCCTTTATCTTCTTCTCCATTTCTATGAATTAACAACCCCCAAATATTATGTACAATTATCAATTGCACAAATCTTTATTGTAGTACTTCAAGCCATTTATTGAGATTACTGGACACCTCTTAATTACTCAAAAGGATTTAAAAGAGCATCTTCACCAACAGTTCTGCAAGTGTTTCTTACAGAAATACTCTATTTTAACCACTTTTAAAATAGAATTGAAAATTTCATTCAGAAGCGTTCTTCTATTATAACTTCTTTCAGGTGGTTGAAATTCAATATTCATGTGATACAAGTATGAAACAGATAAAAAGCACATTAAAACCTTGCTAGATCCTTAAAACATTCATACAAGACAATTTACAATCTTTAATTCATTAGTATACAAATTCAATATACAGTTATTTATGAATTGACTTGCAATCTTTATAGCAATAGGATCATTTGTTTAAATCACTGACCATGGTTATGAAAATTAAATTATTCGACAATTCTATGATGAACAACACAAATTCAGCATAAATATGATTTGGAATTAACCATCACAATTTTACGTATTTACACACATTAATTACTAAATATACATATGATTAAAATGCAAGCAAAACATTTCAATTATATACATAAAAAATTATCGAATATAGATCATTCCATGTTAATTGCAACTTCTCCAGAATATATGTAACACACAAAATGTACTGTTTCCCAAATAATTTTTTTATGGAAACTTTAATACAATACCGGAAGACTAAAATCTAAGGTAAGTATGTATAATATACCTCTATACATGAATATAGATGTTACTGTGCAGTGATACACTTTTCTTCGTAACTACAACAGTCCCTAAATAACGAATTCTACTTACTTTCGAAATGTAGTAAAGCATTTTTATTTGAAAATCTAATTGTTAATTTTATCATCTTGTGACTCTTGGTGAAGACATCAAGAAAATGGAAAGAAATTCAGACACATCATGTTATGAAATCTTCAGAACATGGTTAATTTGCATTTTTTTATATAACCAAGTTAACACCATAATTTTTAATAAAATTTAATACCAATGATTAAAACAATGATTATTTAATTAATTGTAATCCTAAAAAAAAAGTTTAAAAGCACAAACCCATTTCACTGGGGATGGCTCCTGGAGATTTATTACAGAATTCCCCCCCAAAATCTCACATTAATATTGAAATTCATTATATATAAATAAATTTTATAATGCACTAACACACATATCTACTAGTTTTATTATATTCCACATTTTAAAAGATTTTTTAATTAAACAATAGAACATTAATATTGAACATGTGTATGCTGTTATTTTAAAATTCCAGTAATTTTAAAGAGCATAACAAAATAAACACGAGAGATACCAGCTCTGTGTTTTTACAACTGCAGAGATCTCCTAGCTCCTGCAATATTTTAAATTAATTGTATTCATTGAATCCCACCATGTATATCAATTTCTTTATCATGAGGTGCCTTTTTTCGCAAACCTTTAGAGTTGAGAATTGTAGTTCTTTTAATGCTAGTAATGGTTGTTCGCCTGATTATTCTATGTTTAAATATGTGTGTGTTTGTATCTATGTCCTTGTGGACCATTTTGTCTCTTATCCTGAGTTTGGGTAACAGCATTTTCTTAGTAACTACATTATCTAGACCATCATCTGAAAGTATTTCAGGAAACTGACATTCAGGAATCCTACCGATCACAGTCATATGTTGAGAAGGTGGATGCGTTTCCAAGTCTGCTGAATCCGCAAAGGCTGTCTCCACATTTGACCCTGTCAAAGGTATCAGTGCAGGAACTGAGAGCGACGAGGAAAGTGCTGGGCTTCTTGGACGACATAATGCTTTGGTCAGTCGTGGCGATTGCTTATCACGACTGTTGCTCAAAGCTCGCTTAGAACGATCCATACATTCTGGGCGGACAGGTGGGGCCGACAAAGGTTTATGTCGTGGGCCTGTAGTTGTGCTGGGTTTCTCGACTTCAGCACCAACAGACTGTTTGCGCAATGTGCCTCTTCTGGGGCGGGGACAACTCCTGCTGCGGAAATCATTCCTCACAAGAATAGGGGCTTGGTTGGTGATTGATGGCAATTTGGTTAGTCATCTGATAAAGGCTGTTTTATAGCTCCGGGAAGAAGAGGTGCGAGCACTGTAAAGGAACAATGGATTACAAAAATTATGTTGGAAATAGGATGTATATTAGTAAGCATGCCGAGTTCAAGCAGTGAGAAATATAGCTAGGTACTATCATTAATTAAAAGAGTGAAAAGCTCATGGCAATGTTTCTGTTGATTTATCAACATAAAAGAACCAAAAGCAAAATAAATGCTTGAAGAATTAAAGCATATGTACAGTACTGTCCTGAGACCATACCATTTAAGTCTGCTGCAAGAATATCAATGAGGAGATAAAGATATTTTTTCACATAACAAGAAAATATCTATGCTTTTATGGTTACAATTAAGTCAACAAACAAAAAATATCATGCATATTTTAGAAATAAAAAACAAAATTTAAATGGTGGTAATTCTCCCATCAAGAGCTCCTTGTCCTCAATAATAGTCCTAAAATGCATCAAATTAAACTTTTGTAATTATTTCATTGCTAGTCATAAATTCTTGGTTCAACAAATAGACCTTTGCTTAACAATATGGCTAATAGAAGATAAATTTTTGGGCTGGTAGGCTGTGGTCCAGTTGGCATTGAAGGGCCAGTTAAATGTCAACTGGACCACGGCATACCCACCCAGAAAATTTATCTCCTATTGACTTCGGCTGTGAAAGTCTACGATGCTATGTAATAGACTAATATTTTTATGCAAGTAGAATTACATTTCAAGGATACAGCACACCTGAAATTTCCAGATTCCCATTTTGTCTTCTAGAATAAAGCTAGCAAACGAACTGAATATCCTATGCAATTTAAAATCTGTTACTTTCCTTTGATAATTGTTTCAAATTTCGAAGCAACATACATATATTGCCATTTTAAATGGCAAAATGATCTACCTACATTAAAAAGTAGTCATAAATTATTTTTTTTTTAAGCAAGGATGATTATACATAGCATAATATATTAATTAACTTTGTAGTCTCATTATTTCAAGTGAGGCAATACCATAACAAATCATTGTAAGTAGATCCCTGAAGTTTGGCAAAACTCAAGTCTTGTTACTGTAACAATTTGAAGACTTAACAACAGGAATTATTTAACTATACTTCTGGAAGTGTTTTAGAATATTTTCATTATACTATTTTGCCTATTCTAGCTCTTGAAACCTATTTTAAGTATCTAGCCTTCTTTTCATTTATCATCCTTTTTTGTCATTATTTTCTCTCTTTTCTTTCTTCTTCTTACAGGCACAAATCTTGATAAAGCTGTCACCTATCTGCAAACTTGGACAATACTAGAGCACTTGTGTTTTGTCTTTTGGGCAAGTGTAAGAGCAACACCAGACATGAAATGATGAACTCTGGCTCTGGGGTCAGAGTTTTAAAAACAGCCACCAGAAAGTGAAGCAATACCAGTTAAGTTTGCAACATTGATGCTAATGGCATCCTAGACCCATAAGAGACCCTAGGCCCACAAGAGATCCCATCCCATGCTGGACTTGAGAATGACTTTCAATACCTTTCAAAATTATTTTAGTTTATATACCTCTTAGTTTAATGCTCATTTGCTATATTTTACACACCTTTATGTACTCCTATTTTACCCATATTTAAATGCTTGAACTTCTGGGCACTAATTATAAAGATCTAGTCTAAAAAATGTGCTTCAATATTATTTGTTCCATTTATTATATAATTTTTCATTATCAAAGTTCATCTATACTAAAACTCAATTCATTTAGAAGTATTACTAATATTCTTAAAGTTCCAGCAGACCAAAATGATAATTACAACAAAATTTGGAATAGTGTCATGGAAGCAACAAATACCAGGTTTTAAGCCCTTGAACAATTACCCATGCATAGTAAGCTGCGTATAATCCAAAGAACAGGGACGTTTATCAAGCAAAGTAAGCACAATTTTTAAGTTGGTGAGGCAAAAATGTTAAAAATATGTAACTTGGAATACCTGGAGAAACACTGACAATCTCATAACACAATTAAACCAACCTTTGGTGTCACAATGAAAAAGGAGAAACTTGTTTAGTAAATTGTCAAAAGGTGCTCTTTAAAATTAAGTAAAGGAAGGATGAAGGATTTTAACAAAAGGAAATGTAGGTACATTTCTTGAATTAAATTAAACTCCAAACATTCATTCAAGACACACAAGACACACTTAACCCTCAAGAAATATAAATATGTGTAAAACTCAAAATGCTACTCTTAAATCTAGGTGACCTCACAGAGAAAAACAATATATAAATACACAGAATAAAATATTTTGTACTTTTAAAACTAACAATGATGTGCACAGAATTGACAAAAATCATTTCTGCCTTCAGCCATGCAGCAAGGGAGGAAAATTGAACAAGGATAACATAGGTATAATAGTGAATTGTTCAGGAAAAATCTACTGGCATAAATGCCATTTCCACCACGCATATAATAAAAAGCACTAGAATGGGGGAAAATGCATGCATAATCGATGGATGACAGCAACAGCAAACACGCACTTACTGGCGAATGGTATGGTATCTGGAGACTCGATCAGCACTGCGCAGTGTCATGCCCAGGCTGGAAGATGGAACAGGACTGGAGGTAGTAGGTGTAGCTTTGCTGGTAGCTCGAGTGACAGGACGTGTAGGATGGGTTAAGGTCACCTTGCTGATGTTTAGAGAGCGATTTGATCCATACATGGAATTTAGAAGCCACGTGTTTCTATGAAAGAAAGAAGGTAAGATGATTAGGTAATCTACAGATCTCTGTATTCTCACATTGTACATATTAATTATAAGTTATTACATCCTGCAGGCTCTCTCTTAAGGTATACATATAACAAAGGCAAGGACATAAAGGAACAGGAAAAAATTGATAGCAAACATTTTTTCTCCAGAACTACTTTCACTTCAATGTGGAAACACTAGAAACAAATTATGCACACCAGATCCTCCAAAAAGCAGGGAACAACATTAGAACAAAAAGCAAAATCCCCATAAGTATCAATTACTTCATGGTAAACAAACAAGTGTGGTACACTGTTATGCAGAAAGCAACACATTTCCTTACTCATCTTCGTACCATCTACAATATATTTATTATTACACAAGGATTTCTCTTTTATTATCCAAATCATGTTATTTTTTTTCCATTTGATCTTTCCTCACTTTTAAATCACACACAATAACTTTCATCCAATTGTCTCATTCAAAGTTTTACAAAGATCTCACTCCAAAAACTGAAATTCATTCATCCAAAAAGGTATTCAAGCTCCACTTTACAAAAGCACCTCTGTGATTCACAGTCGTCTAGCTATTAACAGACTCATTCCAACACACACAAGCACTGTTCCATCACTAAGCTGCAAAAATGGCATTTGTATACTCACATGTGCAACTACATACATGCAATGTGCACACACGCATCCACACACCTAGGCAGACACCCCACACACACAGTAGATGTACACAAAAACAAGCAGATGTGAAAATCTGTAAATATCTATTTACTTCAGTATACAACATTTATTTTCAGAATATTTCTGTTGGATAAAAGAAGAGTATAAAAATGGAATTAATTTGTGCTCATGGCACTGATGAAGAGACTTTAAAAATGAGGAAAAAGAAGTAACAAAAAAACAAAACAATAATGCTGTTTTCATTTTTACCTGCACAAAAACAACACAAACGTACTTAAGAAACAAATACATATATTCAATTCTCAAACTGCTGAAATCAAATGATCAACAATGTTGCACAATTATATGCTGCACAATATGTTAAACAATTTTTAAATCATCTATTTCACGGTTTGTTATTTGTTATCTAACATTTCAGTCGCATAACTACACACACACACACACACACACACACACACACACACACACACACACACACACACACCGACACC